ACAGGGGGGGCCTATTCCTGGGCTGGCCTCCTGATCTCTCTGGCAGTTCTAGTTGCTCTGTTGCTCCATAGCTTTTTGCTCTTGTTTTTTGGCATCAAGATCCTGGAATGAGGAGGCGGGGGTAAAGGTTGGCGGTACCCCGTAGGAAGCAACTTGGGAGATAATGGATTGAAATCGGCAATCAAAGTCGCCTCCCTACGCCTCAGAGCCGATGAGAAAAAGACGCTGTACTCGGTACAATGTACGAGAATTGCAGGCTTAAGATGCTGCAATGAACTGGGAGGTGGAGAGGAATGTTTGCGCGCCCTGCCCCTGCCACATGTTGCTCCAAACTGCACCTACTCTGTACTCCATAGTACTTACTATTCATCCGTCCTGTGGTCCATGCAATCCATTCGGCGCATGGCTTCCCTGTTGATGAGCCCGTGCTGTGACAGAAATATGCCTTCACTTTCCCGAGTATGCGCACAAAGCAGGGTCCGTGATGAATCCATGCCATTTCGATTTGCTTTGTCTTGGACTGCGAATCTCTTTGCCGTCTATCAGGGGTCACGGCAGGCTAGCTGAGGCATTACTATTGTGGCATCGGGCAATATGTATACACGTAAGCCGCATTGTGATTGCTTCGTGTGCTTTCGGTGGGAGATGAGCTCGTGGAAATACTTCAAGTCCCTGTTTATCGTGTTGCTCGCGTCGCCATTCGGTCAACTGCCTAGGTAGTTGTGCCGGGCGGTGACAAAGCTCTATCACCCCTACCAAAACGTGTTGTTTGTGGAACAGTCTTCAAGCCGTGTGCCTTTTCCCAGATTAAGCTAGTAGTACTCTGTGGCCAACGAGGGCAGAACTGGGCTCCCGAGTCAATCAGTCGGTGGTGAACCCGGCAGCCTCCAAATCATCACACTCCTCTCCGGCCAGGGGCGACGCCTGCTGAGCGTGCACTATTTGCATGGTCCCTACAATGAGCGACCACCGAGAGTGTGTGTACCGGAGGCCAAGCTAGCTCCCTACCTACATACCTAGGATGCCTACCTAGGTACCTACCTACAGTGGGTGTAGGTAGGTAGGTAGGTGGGTGCCTTGGGTGTCAGTTGATTCGGGGCTGCACAATACTAGATAGATACTGTTGACCGCATTCCAGTGAACAGAACAATCCTCGTCGGAATAGCTGAGGTACATGTCCCGCCGAATACAGGATATCAAGAGTTGAAAATTTGACGGCCAATCCCAATGAATCCAAAAAATGCGGCTGTGTCTTCTGATATGGGGCAGCATTTAACTACCCTAGTAGTTCTCTCGTGTACTCCGCAACCAGTCAACAGTAGCACTTCGAGTGGATGCAAAATGTTCCCATGTACTACCACCACCTGCAGTCAGTTTGCCAAGGCAAGAACTGGAGGACCCAGATTGAAGGAATACCCACAGGATGGGAGAAATGGTCGGATTCGCAACGGCTCAGGGTTCCAGAAAGATGAGGAATGCCTAATTATCTTGCGGTTGGGCTGTCTTGGGGAGGACACAGGACTCTGCGGTCTCGCAAACAATCCCGCACAGTAATAATAGCCCAGAGAAACGGCGGCGGTGTTGTCCTCAATAATATGTGCGTTGAAGTCCCCAGCTGAATGAACCTCCACGCAGGTTACGGTTCAAAGCTTGGGTGTGAAAGTACATAATCGCATCAAGATCTTTTGTGCCGCCTTTCTTCAAACCCAACAACAGGTGGCAAAGAGCTCAAGGTAGCCCAGCCCTCGTCCTTGAAACAGTGATACATATGTCCATGTACGTGGTACATAGAAAATCTCGGCGTCCTCAGCTATTGGATTGTAACGGTTACAGGGGCAATTAGAAGCCCTCAATCCTCATCACCATGCATTGGAAGTCTGGCTGAGCTGCATCCAGATTAACTATGCGGGGGGTCCTCCACATGGTACAGGGCTCATAGTTGAGAGAAAATGCTCCCAATGATGTTGTATGTACACCCGCTGGAGTCTCGGACAGTGTCACATTAGATCTTCCACGGCTGACTTGTCAAGGTGCAATAGTAATCTAATATGGCAATCTGGCTCGACTCGATCCATAGCAATGTCATATTAGGGCTCATCAGCCTGACACGCTCCTCTTCAACTTCAACTGGCCAAGCGAAGGTTCTAAAGGTCCATCCTCGCCCCAGGCCACAGCTTGGGATGCCCAAGACTCGTACCGATAACAGCATTGGACCAGGTGGAGGGGGTTAAGAAAGTATGTCTGGATGTTGAGAGATCTCGTGTGGATGGGCAAAGAAACACCCGGCATTCTCGTCCAGCTCCTCAGGAAGACCGCATCGACTTTGACACTTCGTGAATGAACCGCAGGCTCGTGAAATATCAAAATCATCCACTCACAGCTTTCCCAAACCTATTGGTGTAGTTGCTCCACTCACACATCTTGGTCGATACCCTTGCTATGTCGCCCTGGTGCAGGAGAAAAGATACCATGTATGTAATAGGTAGATGGGCGGCTACCCCTCCTAAGATCCCCTCCGCCAGGACGGAGCAGTGCTTCTCCCAGTGGATCCCAACTTGGAGTGCGTCTTTTATCCAAAGAGAACTTGGTGGGGAAGAGACACATAGTTAATATGTCTACGACTCCTCAGTCGTCGTCTTAATCATAGACGCCAGTTTGGGCCAGTAACCTAGTGTGTTTTGCTAGTCTGAGGCCCTCGGATCTCCGTACCCCTCTAAAGGCTCTCGTCTCTGGGTCGCCACTCAGCACGCAGCCACCACGAGGACTGACCCACGCGGTTTGTGCTTTGAGAATACAGGTTCGTGAGGGCTCTATTCGCATTTGAAGCATGTTCAAACGTCGCGGTGGTGTGTGTAAGTCCATAAACTGCCCAATGAATGCGCATGTTGAGACATGACATAATGTTGAGTTTTGCGTATTGTGCAATTGCTGAATCAAACCTTGACCCCAAATTCTGGTTCCATTGACCCAATGGACGGAATGAAGCCCCGGTCATGTCGAGCCCGAGGTAGTGATGCAATGTCTTGGTAGTAGAAACAGCAACAATGGCGTCCGCAACGTCAATCTGCACAACATTCCTACCATGAGCCAATTGGGAACGACTGCTGAAGATAAAGATGCCAGAGAGAAAAAAACGTTCCTCAAAGTAGTCGTCCATTATGTACGTCAGATTCTTGTTCTTTTGCTCTCAAGACTGTGAGCGCCGACGTATCGTGATTTCGGATAAAGGCATTTCTCAGGTAACAAATAACGTGCATACCTAATAAGCCCAGAAAATTACATGGGCCCGTTCTTTCATCCATGAAATCGCGCACAATAGGGTGCTGCAGACCTCTGTGTCTGACTTGGCCTTGAAAATTATGGGTACAGTGAAAACGGTTCAGATGCCATATACAGAGTACCAGTCATTATCAACCTGCTTTGTAAAATCCCCGACTCCAGGAGCAAATATCGCTCAGAGCAATTGGGGCATGGTGCCCAAGGTGCCAACTTTGGCCAGGCCGGAACTCCAAGAAGTGCTATCGGAGAGATCTCCAACCTGGTAAATAATACCAGCGATATGCCAGGGCTTGGGCAAGATCCAGACCACCGCAGACCGGGTTCAGAGAGGCAAGATCGGCAACCAGCTAAGGGGCAGCAGGAAGCACACCCGAAAAAACAAACAGTAAGCCTCGCGGGCAAGGTGGTGTTTGGCACAAAACGATTTCTCCACAGGCTTCACGGCTAGTAAGCTTTTCATCGATGAGGGTGCAACGTCGTCTCCACAGAGTTGATCGATGTGGCCACAAGCCCCGTGAGCCACTTGAAGCGAGTTTGGTTTCTCGAGGTTCGATACAGGTGACATAGTTGGGGGCACGCACGCACGCGCGCGCCACAAGTGATGTCCAGGATGGAGGTATCAAACTTGCGACGGTGGCTGGCCTATTACGGTATTTTCCGCCTAGTGAACCTGTTCACAATGTACGCCTCCGTGCCGCCTCTCCCGAAGCGCCAAGTTGGACAGGAAGGATAGCGACAGCCGCAACAGCTGCACCTATACCAAAGCAGAGGGCTTTGCACATTAATGCGATGCTGATCCCATAAGACAAAGGTATACCTGGTCTGCCCATGCTCTGTGTCCTGCATTTATGAAGGTCTCGAGTAAAAGAGGCGTTTACCAGAGAGAAGACATCCCGGCTATGCACAGCTCATTTTCTGTTTGGATGGTTTAACTCAACCACAAATACGCAGAAAGGCCATGGAAGCACTTGAGTGCTCTCTTCGAGATTTGGTGACATGAAAATCTGTCCCTGTGAAGAGAGTTCTGTGGATTTGTAGTCAGGGGAGCAAGTACTTAGGTACGCGGTAGTCAAGCTGTTAAACGTTAACTGACGATAATGTAGACGTACATGGACTGGGACGCGACATACGTAGAAGTCTCCTCCTCTCACTGCATCGCTGACAATTGCTGCATCATACTCCATACAGCAGTCGAGATTGATTTGTTATACTCCGTAACAGTATCATAGCAGCATCATTGCTGTTTTGATATGTGCAGGTCTGAACGGTCCATGGTGGCGCAAACTCAAAAACCCGCATGTCTTTGACTGTAGGGTGTGGAAAGCAGAAAAACTGATGCTGCGTGAACGAACCCGTTGCATTTGGAAACCTCAGAGAGGTGGAGACGGGGATATGGTTCGTCAAGTAATATCCATGTATCGAGGACTAGCTGTCGGTAGCTTACAAGGCGTCCTTGCCTTGTTCTGCAATCGCTCAAATTTGTTGGGAACATCATTGAGGCTGGAAGCTCTCTGTCTTTTGTTGTCGTTACTTGTTTTTTCCCATCCCGGTCTTGCTTTGGAAACGCATAGACTACCGCGGCATGACTTTCGCCGACAATTAAGGAGACAGCCTGACCGACATGCCGGTCAAGTGAATTGCTAGCCCTTGCACGTACGCTTGCATTGGGGGCTTCGGGAGACGTACCGCCACAACCAAAGCCAAGCAACTGACAGAGCACCATGGCGCAAAGTACGATCCGGGGATTTGCAAAAGGCGTGCTCCGTAATATTATGGGCAACCAGCCACAAAGATCGCCTCTTCCCCAAATCATGGGGGACCTGCCGATGGGCTGGGGACGACAGCGCCAGACAAACCAGGGTATCCTGCGCGAAATTAGCAAACAACCTCCTGGAGGGGATATCTGCTCAATATCAGGAGCGATTAGCGTCAAGGGCCAGCTGACGGCTCAGCATGGCAGCACAGTTGAATATCGAACTCGGAATAGGAACATGTCGACACAATTCACAGCAAAAGATGGAGCTGGAAGTGGTTTCAGCGGTGCAGTCGGTGCAAGCGGTTCTTGATAAAACCGCTTCGATATTCGCACTAGAGGTCCCAAGGTTCAAACATCTGGGTCGAGAACATTGCGCCGGAGAGGGAGAGCCAGAGCAGATGCCCAGATTAGGCGGCAATCGGCACAGTACGGATTACTCGGCCACATACCCACATACGTACCGTACTCCGTAGACATGCGACCTGGAGCAAACATTTTGAGCAGGAGCGCAAGACCGCGGGCAGCATGGGCAGCATGGGCAGCAAAGGCGACAAAGGCAGGTGTTTCCTTCCGTATGGAGCGCGTGGTGGGGTAGCGGAAGAGGAGGTACCGTGTTACAAGCTCTGGAGCACGGGGTACATACGGGTACATGCGTCTGTTCAAGTGCCCGCAAGCGAGAGTAGTACTCTAGCTATTGTCCTTGTGCCCCGTACACCTTGCGGATACAATGGAGCGCGCTGTCATAGGGGCTCTTGAGCTTGTGGTGACATTGTTGTATGTACGAGACTCCAGACGTCAAGTGCAAGCAGAATTCTGCGCTGAGCGACTTGGCATCTTGGCGACTTGCAGCTGTCGGGATGTGGGACTCTCAGGTAGTAATCAAGCAGTGACGTCCATGGTGTATTTGATTGGTGGAGGGACACAAGCTCAACCTTCTCTCCTTCCCAAGTATCGATCCATGGGTCCAAGTCTCGGTCCCAGCAAGACTTGCACGGGAACAGCAGCTCTGGGCCTGATGGGAAGTCCATCATTGAAACATTTGATTTGACAAAACAGCCGTACCTTGGCAATCTTGGTTGTTGAAAGCGGGAATGGAGTAAACTTAGAAGCAGCCCCAGCACCAGCACCTGCCTGTCCTTGCTGAGGCTGAGAAGAGACCCATTGAACAACTCGACATTGGCCAGAAGTCAAAGGCCCGATCCACTTTCATCTTTGGACTTGCTCCCCACACCTCCACCCCTCAACTTCCTGCAACATCTTGAGCGCAAGAGTGCACAGACAGGAGCCACTCACTACCAACTTTGGGGCCATTTGCTATTGTGCGAGCGTCCCTGTGCTGAACTTCAGACAGGGACCCCGTGGACGAATATAGCTGCATTCTAAAGTTGGAATATGCGAAGTCCAGTCTAGTCTACTGCGAGACCTCTCTTCTCTCTCTTTTCTTTCTTTGGTTTTGGTGAGCTTGTTGCGTAATCCCAGCTGGTTTGACGGAACATGTCGCTGCGCCTACGCTGGTCTCATTGCAAAGTCATGCCTTTGCATTGCCTCCTTACCAGTCATTGATATCTTGCAAGTTGGAGAGTGACTAGCTCGAGCAGATGTATGGAACTACCTAGTAAGTTACCTGGTACTCCTATCTTGGCACTTGGGGCATCTGGGTTCCTCGGTCCGGTAGCGGCAAAGCAGGCTCAGCACTGCCAAGAGCACCACAGAACGCACTACTCCGTGGGAACAGCCCAAATCGAGGCAAGTGCGGCTGGCGTGAGTCGCACTCGCTAATTCCGTGCTTATTACGCGCGTACAATCGACTTGGAGCCAACTTTTACCAGACGACGGCACGCCTGACCCAACATCAATCAATGGTGAAGCGCGCGCCATTCAATGTCCAGGCGCTCCAACATTCAAGGTTTCGGAACATTGGACCGTGGGCCCTTGCCACCACCATCACCGATTCACCACCACCACCACCACCCACTACTCTCAGGTGCCATGATCGTGCCATCTACATACAGCACAATGTTGCGCTACCCCCTCTTTCGCCTATTGGGCTTGGCACGAGGCTTCGGGACTGCGCTTGGTTTCTCCGTTCTGGGACAAGTCTGTGACGGTTGATTTAGCCAACCATGACAACTTCCCCTAGCCTCCCTCTCTTGTGTCCATTGAATCGGCGACCAGCACCTGCGCGCTAAATTATCCAATTTTCGCAAAAGCTCGTCACGGGAGTGTCAGTATGACACCATGTTACAAAGTCCTCCTGGTAACACCAAATGCGCAAAGTACAGCATGCATTTCGGCCCGGATCAATAAGGCAGCTCGTCAATACAAATGAATTTGAGAAAACTCAACTGCCCCTCCCATGGCTTTGGGCTCTGGGACAAGTCTGGGGGGGGAAGCAAACAGGTGATGCTGGAGTCGCCACCCCTGTGATAAAGCTCGTACAATGCATTTTGCCATGTGAGTCCATGCAGCTTGACGTGGACGACCGTTACATGCTAACATTGGCGAGGGGAGACGACACACGCCAGCGTTGGCACGATGTCGGAGATGAACCAAGCTCATGAATCCCCCTAGAGCACCTCGTTCAGCAACAGCGGCATCGTCACGATGAACTGCCTCCACCCGACAGGCGCGGGAGTTGGGTATTCCGCGCTTGATCTGGTGAACACTTCCGCTGCTTTGGCACCCATGTCCTCACCAGCCCTCGCCATGCAAAATGTTACAAATCATGATGCTCGGCTCATTCACACCTTCTTCGCTCCCTAGGCTCAATATTTCGCTGCATGTTGATTATGTATCACTTTGACCTCGTCTTGACCCTGACAACCCTGGTCTAACAAGGCCTGCCTTCATCCGCGGTACCCAACAGAGTGGTCAAAACCCACCGGGCCAGGGTGACCCCAGAGGACGCGACTGAAAGCTTGTTGCAATTCGCCTGGTCTGTGTTATGTTATGGAGTACACGGAGCACAGCTGCAGCCGCACCTTTCTTTCAAGTTGGAAAAGCCCAATACCAAGTCCCGCTTCTCCGATTCGCGGCTGAAATGGGACGACGGACCAACCTCACCTAGGGCAAAGAGCAAGCACTTCCTTGGAACCGCTCCTGTATCGCCAAGCTTAGCGCGAGATAGACTAGGATAGACGATTCAGCAAAGGTCACGGAATGGCACCGCTGCGGGACTTGTCGCATATCAGACTTTTGGTCCTCGGCCCCATCGTTCAACCACTGTCACTGAACAGGCAATAGGCGCTATTAAAGGAGCGAATAAGAAGGATGGACTGCCATCCCGTTCCCTCGGGACCAGCTTGTGCGCTGTGCTTGCATCTCTAGCGCTTGGCATACCATCACCCCCTCCCTGCCGTGCTTGTTTTTGTCTTCAAGTACGCAAGGTATGTAGCCAGGCCCCCTAGTCTGGCAGCCATGCAGTGCAACGTCGGGCAAGAAACCAAGATGCTTGCCCTCCTCACGGACCGCCACCCCATCGCTCATCTCATGTCAGCTTCCTCTTGGCTCCGCCCAAACTCCACCGGCTACTCCGTACAGCGCCTCATCAACCTGCGACTTAGGGGAAGCTCCTGCATGATGAGGTCTGCTCCTTTGTGGCAAGAGTGGTTCCGGGTCTGCGTCTGCCGGTTCCCATGACGAAGCTGATTGCTACATGTACATGTTTATGCAGACAGGCTGGCATGAATTGTGTCCAGGTATTTCCCGTAGGTCAACGGCTCTGGAGCTATGTACATGAGCGGCTCGCACTATCATACACAATGTACAGACCAGTCTCCACGAGTTACCCCGGAATCATATCAGTGTCCTCCAGGCATCTCTCGAGCACAAGGGGCACCGTCTTGGAACTAATAACCCAGGTTCACTTGTGGGACTAGCAGGCACGTGGAGTAGCGTCTTGGCTTTTAGAGACAAAAGATGAAATGACATAGTATTGTACTTCTTCTTGCAGAGTTCGCAGTACGTATGCCATCCAGTCCGGCATACGTACTAAAAGACGAAGCCTGTACATGGTTACGAAAATCCATTGGCCCTCGGCAGGTCGCCTGTGGTTCCTGGGTGTTTGAATGTATGCCGTCCGTGCCAAGGCATACATACCTGGGTACATACAGGAGTGTCAAGTCTCTGTTCTTAGGTATGAGACACGGAGTGCGAAAGACTCTGCCTGGGTGGATCGATGGTATTAATACGATGATCGCCTCCTGACATCCGGCGCCAGCATTGAGGGTGACGGCAGAATCCCAGCGTGGATCTTGCACCATAGGATACACATAGTCGATGTTGTATCGTTCCGGGGATGTATCCACAGAGGGCATCAAGAAGCAAAGCAAAGCAACCTAGCCAAGTACCTACCTAGGTCCTTGCGCACGCATGTAGGCACACAATTTGGACACATACATACTATATACGTTTTGGTCAGTGCTAATGTATTGGCCCAAGCAGGTACCACATCAGTGATATCGAGTTCGGTCCCAAAAACCGTTCCAAAATGACGCCGTAACTAATTTGACGTGCATGGCCTAAGCTCAAGATTTAGCCCAACTGCAATGTATGCAGTACATATATACACAGTTGTCCGTGTTTCCTGCATTTAGCCCGCCTTTTCGTGATTGAGGGCACTTGCGCGACGGAACAGCCACTTCCCAGCAGACCGGTTAGGGGGCGTCTGGTATAAACCATAAGGCTCTGGAGTCAATGAATATCGGATCCATCATACACCCACACACTCTCGAAGATGGCCCAGACCGACTCTGATCTGATCAGTCCCTTCTACTACTACTACTAGTGGCCTGCGGCACCGTTGGCTGGATGTGGCTGACCCCAAGCCCGCCATATGCGCAGAGTGCCATGCGAGATTCCGGTGCTACAAACGCCACAAAACAAGGGTAGCATGGAAGTTTGTTGATCAGGCCATGTCATATTGCAAGAGGTCGTTACAGTGAGTTTCCAAGACCTCAGCTACCGTGGGGTTGTACTACTTGCGGCATCTATCAGAAATTGGTTGCAGGCATTAGGAGGCGGCGGGAGCGTCGTTGAGGACATAAGCCATGATTTGCATGGTTAATTTGAAAGTTGGGCCTGTCGGTATGTAATTTCAATCTCACTCGTTTCACTTCAAGTGCCAGAAACATGAACATGCACATCCACGCCCAAATATTGATTTTCAAAGTCGTCGCTCTAAGCCAAGTTTGCCATGTCCAAGTCTAATATGGTCGAGAAATGAGGGGAGGACAAAGAAATGACCGAAAGACTTTGCAGCATTGGTTGGAAGTAAGAGAAGCATAATTAGTCCACATTTTTCTCCAACCC